GCTTAAAACGACGACGACGGCCGACGGAACGACGAGACGACGACGACGACGGGAACAACCGGACGAGAGACGAAGACGGGACGGACGCCGGACGCCGACGCCGACGACGCACGACGATTGACAACAAACGACGACGATGACGACGCCGACGACGACGAACGGACAACGATGACACCGACGACGACGACGTCAACGACGCGACGACGGACGACGACGACGACGACGACGACGGGGCGACGGGACGCGAACGCCTACGACGACGACGACGACGACGAAGACGACGACGACGCCGACGCCGACGACGACGACGAAGACGACGACGACGTCGCCAACGAAAACGACGACGAGGGAGGAGGGAGGACGACGACGGCGACAACGACGACAACGACGACAACGACGAGTCAGGAGGGAGGACGGCGACGACGCGAACGACGAAGAAGGAGGAAGGACGGCGACGCCGACGACGACAACGACGAGGGAGGAGGGAAAACGACGACGACGACGGCGACGAAATAGGAGGGACGACGACGAGACGCCGACGACGGACGACGACGACGACGACGAGGGAGGAGAAGGAAGGACGACCACGGCGACAACGACGACGGAAACGACCGCGACGCCAAAGAGGACGACGACGACGAACGCGAGGGAAGACAAAGGACGACGTAGGCGACGACGACGACGACGACGCAAGAGCGCGCGCGCACGCTTTTGTTGAAAATCCGTGTTGCGAAACTTTGTGTTGTTGTAGGTTTTTTGGGCACACGATTTTGATATCCTTCCGAAACCGATGGGTTTTGAAGGATTTCGGCATACGCGCGCGACGACGCGCGCGTCTGCACTTCGCCCCATCTTTTTGCAGAGGATTCTCGCGACGGCACACGCGCAAGGGCGTTCGACAGATTTCGACATGCGCGTGGTACCATTTTTTGAAAATCTTGAAAACCTGTTTTCTTAAGATTTCGCAAGAGCTTGCGCGTAAGTTGTTTTAACAAATCAGTGTTGCGAACCCCTGTGTTTTTGTATGTTTTTTTTGGGGGGGGACTCGATTGCGAAATCCTTCTGACACCGAAGGTTTTCGAAGGATTTCGGCATGCGTGCGCGACGACGCGCGCGTGTGCACTTCGCCCTATTTGTTGCAAGGGATGAGTGAAAAAAGTGTTATGTTTGTTAGAACAAAAGATGTCCCCGCGTATTGTTTCTTACCAGGGAACCTCCGGGGGACCGATCCCGGCTCCCCTGGGATAGTGTTGATTCATATTTAGGATGGACATGTGGTCAGAAACATATATGATTTACATACCCGAACGGGGGGCGGATAACGCCGGGGGGGTAGAGTCTATTCTCTTTTTAGAAAGGAGAATCAACTCACTTTGTGTTCTGCATCGCGGGCATCTACCTCCCGAAGTCTTTCGGAGCGTGTTATCTTGCAGGATTGCGGGCCTATTCAAAGGAGGAGAAGATACCAAACCTATCTCGGTGGGCAGGGTCTTATTACTCATGTGGCTCCGAGTTTTTGCGGGATCCGCGCCTACACCACAGAACACATGGGCGAATCGCAAGCACGTCTCGGACACCCACGCTATCAGCCAATAATTATCTGATTGCGGGATGGGCAAAAACGGCTGCGAATTTGACCTGGACAAAGCCTACGACAACCTCGACCGCGATATTGCAGGTGCTAGTATGGGAGCATCGGGCAATCCTGCAGTTGCTCGCTTCACGTGTGCTGCTTGCTGCCTGGGCGGGCCCTCGCCACTGCAGCCTCAATGGAGAGACTGCGAAACCCATCGTTGACCCGTTTAGAGGCTTACCACAGGGCGACTCCATTGCACCCTCGGTCATGCGTTCTACTCTGACACCATGTAAACCACACGGATTTTAGGGATGCTTTATGGACGATCATCACTTGGTCGCCTCGCCTCCAGAGGCCTTGCAGGACGATCTTCGCACGACGACGAAGTTCGAAGGACGATTTTACATCGGACGATCTTCGCACGACGATCTTTGCACGGACGATCTTTCATCGGCTACAAGGAGACCGCTAAGAAGAGACAGTGTTGGTCATATCAAGACAACCCGCCACGAGAAGTTACACGCCTGGGCGTTCTAGCTCGCCCTACAGATACTCAGTGGGATATCATACCACGCTAACGGCTGGATAATCCGCACGTGTATCGTTTTCGCCTTCACACGACCCTTGTGGACATGGCTTTCAGCTGTGACAGCTAAACGGTTTGCGAATTGATTTGGGGGACGGAGACAACATGGTGGTGTTTGGGCCACATTCGAGCTCGTATTTCGCGCTGAAGAAGCTGAAGGGCGAACGAGTGGTGTGGCCGACGTTCTTCGAGCATTCAATGAGTTCAATGCAGCGACATGCCACGGAGTTGGGGCCCAGCTCCATCATACTCTCTGAACAATGCGGGACCTTGGTGGAAGTCTCGGCCACACATGATCACCGAGTTCACCAGATAGTGGCCAACATAATTGGCGGAGAGAGTAGGTTCTGGACGGGCACGGACAAGGCTCAGCACATTTGCGCTGTCTAGCGCGGACCAGTTGCCTGCAGGCTGCGTTGAGGATCCGCAAAGATGCAGATGACATTGACGAGGTTGATGTGGAAGCCTGTTGCGGGAAGAAGTTCGCTAAGTGGTACCAAGCACTTGATGATCAGGAACGCTTTTATGTGTTCATGTATCGGAGTGGTGCTGTTACGACCGAGACGAGGCGACAGATTGGCCGCAAGTGTAAGTTGCGTGATGCTTTGTGGACCTCCATGCGACATCTTGTCGTTGAGTGCCCGCGCTCCCGAGATCCCCGAGATCGCTTAACGCTTCAGTCTGTTATTCCACCAAATTTCTGGACTTCTCTCCCGAGAGTTTCGGCCAAGAGTGTGTGGATCACTGTCGTTGCAGTCGAGGGTGCTCAGGACCGCTCCAGGATGCTGATCGCGCTTTGTTCAGTGGGCATCGGTGTGGTGAGCCTGGGTACGGATGCAATACTTCACGATGCAGCTCTTCTTCCTCGTGCTGGAGCTCGCCGTGATCTTAAATGATTACCAGGTGTGGACCTACTCCATCGTCAGAATGCTCCACTTCACCAAACTCCCGTCATCAACGTCACCACAGGAGGCTTCGTGGCAGGGTCGATTCGGCGGCGCCGCCGGGGCCCCTCACTTCGCTCCAGGAGGAGGAGCAGAAAGAGGATGAAGAAAGGAGGGAGAAAAAGGAGGACAAGGACGGTAAGGAGGAGGAGCAGGAGGAGGAGGAGAAGGAAGAGGAGGAGGAGGAAGAGGAGGGGAATGAGGAGGAGGAGGAGGGGGAGGGGGAGGGGGGGGGGAGGGGAGAGGGAGGGAGGAGGAGGAGGCGGGGAAGAAGGAGGAGAATCGCGCGCCACCGAAGGGAGAGGGAAGCGCGAGAGATCCTGTGTTCAGCCACAGGCCCCTGGGGGAGGCCCCATCGCAGAGGGTCTTTCTTCCACCACGGAGCGGCTTCAGCGGGCCGCCCCGTGGGCCCGCGACGGCCTCCCCCCCCTTCGGGGTAGAAGGGGCAGCCGGGCACTCTTCGTCGCCGAGGCCGCAGGCCTTCCGCTTTCGGACCCTGCGCACCACAAGAGCGGAGGGATGCAGAGGAGGAGGAGGAGGAGGAGGAGGAGGAGCAGGAGGAGGAGGCAGAGAAGGAGGGGGAGAAGCAGGGAGAGAAGCAGGAGGAGGGTCTTGCCCTTGTGCGGCCCCGGGTGCCCGGGGAGCTTCCGTCGACACCGAGTCGAGCCCGCTCTGCCCCGACCCTCTTCCCGAGCACAGGCATCGACCCCCTGGCCTCCCCAGACATCCGACGTCGCGATTTGTTCGCAACGTAGCTCCCCAAAGATCTGGACCCCTTCCAGTGGACCAGCTTTTCATCCTGAGTCGTTCGTTCTTTGACGGTCCCAGGGCTTGGCGAGGGCCCCCACTGGCCGAAAGTAGCCAAAATTATTTTGCGACGTACCCAGCTGACCTACAACGACTGAGCCGAACAGTTGGCCAAAGTTGTTACGAATGATCCATGTGTCGTAAGAGCTGCATGGGAGGCTCGCGCGTCGCGGGACTCACGGGACACCGACAAGAGGGCAAGGGCGGGATGGACGGAGGGAAACCCTAGGCCCGAAGGGAAAGGAGCGGGAACGAAGCGGAGACGGAGCAGCGGCAGGAGGAAGGGTACGTAAGGATGGAGAATACGACGCTTCCACCCTGACTCGCGAGCAGCGGCGCCCTGAGAGCAGCGGTTCATACTGAGTGCAAGAACTGAGCGAGGCCGCGTTCCATTGCCAGCCGATCGGCCTCCCTCCTGCGTTTGTCACTGCGGGAGTTAAACGCGCAGCCGCGCCGCCAGGTTCGCGGGCGGCCCGCGGGCAAGAAACGCCAGCCCCGGGTCCCGCATCATCACGATATGATCGACCGCCGTGGCCCTGGAAAGCATCACGTGAAGACGCAGCCACACTTCACATGCGGCAGCCGCCCAGGCATGGTGAGGTCGAGTCTGGATCCCCGTAGAGCCCCAGTACGTTGGAAACCCCCAGCAGCCATCGACAGCGGCGATGGTTTCGCAGACCCCCTAGGCATGGCGAGGTCGAATATGGACCCTCGTAGGACCCCACGAGGGTGGACCCCCCAGCAGCCTTCGAAAGCGGCGGCAACTCAGATTTCGTAGCCCCCCAGGCATGGCGAGGTAGGAGGCAGGTGGGAAGTAGTGGGAAGAGTTGACAGATGAGGAGGGAAGCGGGCGACGGAGAAAATGAAGAACAGGATGCTGTGCTCAAATGAGGAACCCAACGGAAGCTCGGGAAAAAACAAAGACAGCAGGAGGGAGGCGGGAGGAAGAACGAAGGCTGGAGACCGTCACAAGACCCCCCACGGACGGACGGGAAAAACCCGGGCGCCGTGATGCTTGCGCAACGCGAGGGTGTCTGGGACGAGGGCCGCTGGCGGAGGGGACGGCGGCGCGGCCCGCGCCCACGAGGCGCGCCACCGGAGCTTGCTGCCACCCGTCTTCGGGCGCGCGGGCCACCTCGCCCCGGCGGCCCCCGAGTCGGCGCCGGGCAGCGCCCGGCCTCACCGCCGGGTGGCCCTGGCGGCGCCGGCCGGCTTCGACGACCTGCCCGGCCCGGCGCCGCCCGCGGGCCCCTGCCCGCCCGCGGCGCCGGGCAGCGCCAGGCGCTTCCGGCCAGCTGCGAGGGCGGGCCGGGCCGTTGCAGTGGAGGCCAGCCCGGGCGCGGCCGCCGAGCCGTGCTGGCCCGAGGAGGACATCGGTGTGGGCTTCGGCGAGCCGCAGCCCTGGGACATTGAGGTGGCGGCCCTGCTGGAGAGGCCCTCGTATCGGGCCGCCTGGCGGCATGCGCCCGCCTCGCCCCAGCACGCTTCCTCTGAGTTGCAATTTTCTCGCACCCTGCTTTTGCGCCCCGTTTCGGGCCTCCTCCTCCTCCTCCTCCTCCTCCTCCTCCTCCTCCTCCTCCTCCTCCTCCTCCTCCTCCTCCTCCCCCCGGGGCCCTCACGGCTCGACCCGGTCCAAAAAAGTGCAGCAGAGGTGGGGTTGCGGTCGCGAGTTTTCGCGAGGATGCTGTGTGTGTCGCAGCGTCGGATTCGCGGTACGGGGGATCGTGGGGGTGCGGAAGAGGGGTGCATAATGGCGTGCTCTGTTGTATGATGTTGCTTGCGTTGTGTTGTATGTTGTGCGGCGTTGTGGATTGTCCTGGTGCGAGAGGATCGCACTGAGCGACGAGCCACAGCCCCAGTGTCATGTCTCCAGCATTACATGGCAAATCCGTGCAGGAACCGCTACAACAAGAATATGCTTGCAATGTACCGCTAGAGGAAGTATTGTGTAATTCGCCACGAAGGGAATCATTTCGAAATCCGCCACTGAAAAGAATCCACTTGCAATCCGCAACAATAGGAGTCTTGTTGTAATCGGCCTCAAAAGGAATCCTGTCATAATGTACCACACAAGAAATCGGTTGGTAATCCGTCACATGGGGATTCCTTTGTAGTCCGCCACAAAGGAACCCTGGTGCAATCGCCTCGGAGGAGAGGGAGCCCTCCAAAAAAACAGATCAGCCAGCGTTGACTCCAAATAGATACGAGGACAGGAGGAGGACGAGAGGAGGATGGGAGGAGGACGAAAGGAGGACGGGAGCAGGACGGGAGGACAACGGGAGGAGCAAAATCAAGCAAGCGCAAGCAAGCAAGCGGAAGCAAGCAAGCGCAAGCGAGCAATAACAAGCAAGCAAGAGCCAGCGATCAAGTGCTTCGTGGCAGGGCACAGGCAAGAGGCAAGGAAAGCGAGAGGCAAGCAGCTTAAAGAGCAAGCAACAAGTGCCAATGGAAAAAGGGGGGGCCATTGGAAGAAGGGGGGGGCATTGAAAAGGGGGGGTCTAAAGGACCAATTACTTATGATGAGCTACGACTCTTATAGGGCAAGCGAATTGGAGAAAAAATAAAAAGGTAGGGGGGGGGGGGGGGGGGGGGGGGGGGCAAAATGAGATCTTCAGGGAGGGATCGGAAAATATGAAAAAATGGTAGGGTGGCATGATACAAGGATTCCATTCGTGACGGAATACAGAAGGAATCCCATCGTGGAGAATTATTTCCTTGTGTGACGGATTATAAGAGATTCTTGTTGTAGCGGATTACAAAGGGGTTCCTTATGTGGTACATTACCACAGGATTCTTCTGAGGTCGACTACAAAGGATTCCTATCGTCGCGGCTTTCGAACGGATGTTCTGCCGTGGCGGAATACGCAAGGAAATTGTTTGAGGCCGATTAAGAATTCCCCTTTTGGCGGATTACACAAAGATTTGTTCTGTGACGGATTACTAGAGGACTCTTGTCTAGGCCGGTTACACAAGAATCCAATGGTCCTGGATAACATAAAGATGCCTCTCTCAGCGACTTGCAGAAGGATTATTGCATTCCTTCTGCGGCAGCTTCTAAAGACGGATAGTAGTGCCCCGTCTTGTGATGCATCTGTCTTGTTCGTTTTCGTTTTTGTCATACGCTCCCCTTTCTCTGTTCAGTTCCGCTGATTGTCTTCTTGACCGCGTGTCCATGATCCGACTCATCATGTGAAGAGTCGCCTCATCTCAATGCGTTGGCCCACCCAACGCTGACCGACAAGGAGGACCTCGCACGGAGATTGAGAGCGACGACGATACTAAGTATCAAATCACGGGCAACGGGAGAGAGAGAGAGAGAGAGAGAAAAACAAAAAAAAAAAAAAGAGAGAGAGAGAGCGAGAGAGAGAGAGAGGGAGATAAAAAAGAGACAGAGAGACAGATTGAGAAAGAGTCAGAGAGAGGGAAAGAATGAGAGCGATGTGGCAAGTGAGGAGGGGGGAGGGGGACGGCAGGGATAGAAGAAAGATGGAAGAGGGTAGGAAGTGGAGTGGAAGAGGCGCGAAGAAAGCGCAGGAGGGAGAGAGGGGAGCAGGAGGGGAATGGAAAAAGGGGCGGGAATGGAATGAGGACGTAGAAGAAGAGAGAGAGGAAGGAGAGTGGACGGATGACGGAGACCGGGAGGTCACTGGATTTGGGAATTTTGTAGTGGTCCGTATGTTCAGACCATTTCTGCGATCCATAACGAGCGAGAGAGGTGTAGCAGCGAAGGCATAGAAACAAGTGAATGGGAGATACAGCCGGACAGGAAAGCGATGATGAGAGCCCAAAAACGCGCCCCCACATTCCTGCGTCCTCGAGTACGGAGGGTCTGCTGCGCGCGCGTGGAGATGTTCGAGAAGGCACGCTCCAGAACGAGCCTCGACTTCGAGGAGTTGAAGGAGTCGACATCTCTTTCCAGCGAAACGCGGCGGAAGGCCGGAGGAAGTAAAACAGGGGGGGTCTACCAGCGGAAGTTGGCGGAAGCAAGACCGAATGACCTTCCGAAAGGGCAATTCTGGAGGAGATCCGGGCTTCCTGGAGCGGGCCATCTGGGCCTCCGTCGGTGTGGTGGCCCGGCCTCCATCCTCTCCGCAGCCACGGGAGAGCGCGGCGGGGCACCACGGACTCGCGGCCCGTGCTCCAGGGAGCAGGGCGAGGGGCCGGCGGCGGGCGGGGCAGGAACGGGAGGGGCCGGCAGCACGCTCTGCAGCCCCCCTGGCGAGCTGGGGGGCCGGTGGACCGGTTCCGCGCGCCAGCGGGCAAGCGGCCTCTCCCGCCGGTCTTTCGCCGGATGCGCTCTGTCCCAGCCCAGGAGGCGCATCCAGGCCAGGCTGCGGCGGTGCAGCTGCGGGCGGGCGAGCGGGCTCTGAGCTCTGACCTCCCCAGAGCCACAGAGGGGGCTCTTCCTGCGCGGAGGCGGCGGCACCCGACGCAGCTTCCCGCATGGCGAGGCTGCGTGAGACGCCGTCGGCGGAGTTCGGATCCCCACGAAGTGTCGCCCCCCCCCCCTCCACTGGCTTGGCCCCGTAATCGATAATCCCCAGAGCGTGTGTTGACCCAACGTGTGTTTGCCCCGCTCGGATCAGCCGACAGCGCGCAGCCTGTGTCGGCCCTCACTACACCGCCTGCGTCGTATTGAAGGGTCTACGTGTCCTCCTCCTCCTCCTCCTCCTCCTCCTCCTTCTGCCTCTTCTATTCTCTGTGAGCAAGCTCCTGCTGTCTCCGCAGCTTCTCTGCCCAAGTGCCCCCCATCGGCCGCGCGTGCGGGCGCCTTATGCAGGCGGTCGCACAAGCGGCTCTCCAGGGCGCTGGGGAGATTTTGTTCAGGGGGCTGCGGGCCGCGCTCTACGAGCGGCTCGTGGCTGCCCCCCTCTCTGTGCTTCAGGACCAGGGGCCTCCATCGCCTGCATGGTCCATCCAGCAGGCGGACTCGTCCGGGGGTGAGGGGGCCTCCTGCCCTCTCCCTTCGGCGGGTTCCACCTGCCCCACCGTCTGCCTCGGGCTGGCGGTGGACCTGAGCGGCGGGGTCTCTCCCTGGCTGCTCAGCGCGGTCGCCGCCCTCCTCTGGGTGACGGCCGCCTGCAGCGCCTGCGCGGGCTGCTGCCTCGGGCTGCTGGGCCCGTACGTGTGGCGGAGGCTTTGGCCCTCCGCCTGGCCGCGCGGCGCGGTTTCTGCTTCGCCTGAGCAGGACCGCCGTGCGGCGCGAGCGCTGGCCTACGGGGCTCCGCCTCGACCTCAAGCGCTCGAGCGGGCAGACGCCCAGCGTGCGGGCGGCGGCGTCCACGGCGGCGCCCACTGATGGCGGAGCTGCCACCAGTTGGCGGAGGGCCCCTTTGGCCCGAGCTCTACCCTTTCACTGCGCCCACGGCGCGCGACTACGCACGATGGCGCCTAGACGACGGCGACACCAGCTGGGCGGCTATCCCCCTCGCCTCTCGAGAAGGGGGCATCCTGCTGGCCCTGCCTGGTGCCTTTCGCTCTACAGCGGAGCTCGAGGCTGCCGAGGCGGATGGCTTTGCTGGGATGATAGGCCCCTTCCAGCTAGTGGACGTCCAGCTCCAGGGGGCCGCTTCACGGCCGCTCGCCACTACCGCATCCGTCTTCGTTATAGATATCGAGGTTGCCGAGCTCGAGCTCGAGTCGCTGTACCCTCTAGAGGTCGGCGACGACGCAGGCATCGTTCCCTTCGCCGAGGTGCGCAGCCGCGTCTATTGGCCGCATCCTTCGGGGGTTCGGGTGCTTCGCGAGGGCTACGCTCGTTTGCACGGCGCCCCGCCTACCGCAGGGGAAGAGCCTCTCCAGGGGCCGATCGGGCTACCCCCTACCACTCTGCCGACGAGATGGAGGAGCCCGAGGGGTTCGCGGCCGACGGGGAAGCCGACCGCGCGGCCCCAAGTGCGCGAGCCCCCGCGGTCGCTGGAGCGCCGCGCGGCCCGCCCGCCAAGCGCGCTGGCGCCGCCGCGCCGCCACGGGTCGCGGGTCCTGCTCCGATTGCTCCTGGCGCTCCTGCGGCGTCTTTGGACGACGGGGCTCCCATGACCCGCGCCGAGGTAGCTGCCGAAATGCGCGCCTTGCTTGCAGCCCACGCGGCCTCCACGATGGTCGGCGGACCCGAACCGCTGGGCCCCGCTTCGGCTGCCCAGAGCGCTCGGCCCGAGGTGCCTCAGCTTTTCAGCGACGAGGCGGCGCGCCTCGGGCTGGATCCTGCGGGGATCGAGGCCGTCTTGTCCCACGCGCCCGTGGCCCCTCATCGGGTCTCCGCGCGCCCCAAGGGACCCACCTCCGCGCTGGTCTCGGCGTGGGAGAAGGCGCGCTCTTCTGCTGTCCCTCGGGCCCCTTCGTCCGCTTTCGGACCGATGGGCCCCCCGCCGCCGCCTGGGATAGCCTATCCCGCTGCGGTCGACGGCTTTGCCGAGGCGGGCGGCGCCGACGGGTTAGAG